AAAAATAGAGTTCCAGGTTTTATCTAGTTACATAGTAGTGGGGAAAGTTAATCACAATCAGATAATTATTATTAATTAAAAAATCTGTTAAATGAACACCAAGAAATTTTGCTACAATTAGATTTCCTCTAATCCTTTGGTTCCAATGATACGCTGATCTGATTTAAACTTAAACCTTTTCATTTATCAAGCATTTAATTCAACTAATTTAACGCAATTATGAAATCATCCAATAATTTAAAATACTATGGATCCATTTTAAATTTGAGTTTTCTAAGAATATTCGCTCGGTTCGACTTTCTGCCTGTGTTTTCAATTTACCTCTTCGAATCGTGTAAATTTGTTCGTAAATATCCGCACTATTTTCAAAAAACAAGTGAAGTTCATAATTATCAGACACGGGCAAAAAGGGATTTGTATGTTCCTGCTCTCAGACTTTGTTAATTTCTAAGCAGAACCCTTTGACTTGTCTGGCTTCCTTGTATAACAAATTGCCTGTTTCGATTCGCTTAGAGCCTCGATACAAGTTTTTTGAAAGTAGTTTGAGGCGATTTGTTCATTCACATAAATTTTATAGCAAAGAAGAGTTTTTTCAACTAATTGTAATATTTTTGTTGTTTTTTACTCTCTTTTTTCTACTTGTTTCGTACTATGTTGCAAATGAGGCTCGTCGCAATGAGTAATTACATCGTGGTGACGCCTCATAAGTCAATAAAGATCAATAATAATAATTACAAATTGTAATCGCAATAGTATGGTTTCGAGCCGCCCAAAAACCAATAAGGAAATTTCAGAAATAAAATTATATCTGATTTAACTCTCGAGGTGGACATGGGACTCGCTAACGGAAGAAGGAAAAGATGGTCCGGTGAATTTATACCAGTGCGTCCGCACCGCGTTACATAAGAAACCGGAATGGATCGGACCGACGAATGCCGCCTCGACTGGGTAATAATTTTCCAGCAAATTTCCGCCGCAAACTGGCACCAACGTCGGCCACCGTAAAGTGCGTGCGAATTTGCCCATACAAAAGCTGCTGCGAGAGGGGGCGGATGGGCATGTGTGGGTGCCGCTTCTTCTTATTTCGCTCGGCGCTGAGGCCGCTCATCGATCCCGAATCGCACCAGCAGTGGGCGCCGAGTGGAAAGAGCGAATCCATTTCTCTCTCTCTTGTTCTCTCCGGCAGCGTCCGCCGGAATAAATTCGTTTACGGCTCCGCGCCGACCGACTTTTACGGTGCGATGTAATTACGCGTGCTGCTGCTCGGCGTGTTTTTGTTCCGTCGGCGTGATCGCAATTTGATGGTCGCCCCTCGCCACATCCCTCGTACTCTATGCGTTTGGTATTTTGCAATCGAAATGCAATCAACCCCCGATTGTAATGTTTTATCCGATCAACTTGGTTTCCCCGTTTTCATCAAATATATAAGATTTTGCATTTTTATTATTTCTTGCAACATTTGCATAGAGTTCTTAAATTTAAAAATATTGTTGCTTATTTTGTTAATTGATCACAAAAAGGGGAGACATATTCTTAAAATTTTTAAAATAATTGAAAGTATAAAAAGATCGAAGAATTTTACAACATAAAACTTTTTTGAATCACAAAATAAAAATTAAAGCATATTATGTTACTGAAAATCATTGAAAGGCTAAAACATTTTCTTGCATTTAATCAGTTCTTCTTATTTAACATTTCTTTGCAATCAGTCATTTGATGGAAGTGAAGAAATCAGGATTTTTCTTCGTTGTAAAAATTTGTTTTTATTAAAAAAAAAAAAAATGGTTCATTAAATAAGGTCGCAGACTGAGATCGAAACTGGCAGAGCCATTTGTTTTTGAATAAAATCAAATTTTTTACAACAAGGAAAAGCCCGATCTCGTCATTTCCATGATCATCTCCTCGAGTGTCGATTTCTTCAAACACACTCGTTTGATATTTTTTTCATTATTTTCTTACTTTTTATCAAAATTATTCTTTTAGAGTTCTCTTTTTGTGACAGCATCAATTAATTTTGCAAAAAAGAAATTTATTGCTTTTGATAATACAATAAAATTTAATTATTTGACATTTTATCTACTTGAATTTTTCACAATTTTTTACTTTGTGATACTCTTGACTTAATTATGTATAATTATATTAAAGAATAAATTATTTTGTGCAAGTTGAAACCGAAGGGAATTATTTCCTGTTCATTAAAAAGCACCTCAATCTAATTAATTAAATGTTCACACATTTTTATAGATAGAAACTTATAAAGGACATAAACATTTTTCACTTTTGACCAGAAATGCAAAAGTTTCCGTCTGCGAAAGTTTGTGCTGTTTTTTTTTCGTCTTTCTTTCTTTCTGGTCTCGTGCGTCTCGCAAAAGTAGCAATTTCTCAGACGGGACGGTCCCCTCGGTGCGATATTTCAGCGGGGCGCAATGGAGCTAACGGAGGCACCATCGACATGCAAACAAAAGGGGCATCAGTCTATTTGACGTGTTGTTTGTGTGTTTTATTCGGGTCCCGCCGGAGGGTTGATATTCATTCTTCGCCGTTTGATCCCATCGAGTCTCTCTTCTTTCCTCAACGCTCTCGCTACTTTTCTTTTGTGTCAGACACACCAGCGGCACACAAAGGAGAGAACAGTTGCAAATTATGGAGTGAGAGAAAGAAAGAGACAGAGTGAAAAGCTTTCCTAGAATGGCGGCAACGCTTCGAGCCACTTAATTATCACGTCAGCGCCCTAATTGGTTCCACTCCAGAGAACACCATTGCAGATTTTTCAAGAAGCTAATTTTTATTTTTGTATTGGAAACTTTTCATCCTCTTAGAATCAGAATTTTTATTTGAAATAATGGGTGCACTTAAAAGCAGAAACTAAGTTCATATTTCAATATTTTTTTTCAATTTTTTGTTGTAAATTTATAATAAATAATTATAATTTGAGAACGAAACCAACAATTTCAAATTAATAAAAGTTAATGGTTTTAAAATACGCAAAATCTTTGCAAAATACCAAACGAAAAGAACAATGCGATCTATAATATTAAAGTTTTTAAGAGAATAAATTTATTTTAAATAAATCTATAATAATAAATGTAATTAAAGCATTGTCTTTTTTCCCACATCGAGGTTTCCATGATAAAACAAAACAATTTAAAAAAAAAAAAAAAACAATGAAATCGATTTTCTTGCTGTGCTGGACAGTGTTTATTTGTCCAAATCGGTACATAACATTATTTAAATTCAATTGTTGAGAACAATTTATTTGAAAAAAAAGGGAATTTTTGGACAAAACGGAACCACCACTAGGAAGAATTTTGCAAAACTTCCGACATCAAAAAGACCCCATCCGCCGCAGCTAAAAAATGACACTTACTTTGTTATCTAAAATTGAAATCCTTTCGCAGCAAGCAAAGTTTTCAGTGACAGTTCAGTAAAAAACTGTAATCTGAAAATTGAATTCACAATTTTCACTTTCTGTTTTGTAAGAATAAAAATTACCATTCAAATGTAAATAGTGATTGCGAATGCGAAAAATGTGGGATGAAAATTAACTTGTATCATTTTAGTGAATGCTGTGAAAATAATTTAACCTGTCCGAAGCTGCAAGGATGAATTATAAATAATTAATCGCATGTTGAAATGTTGTACACATTTTATGTTTTTTCAAGAGCGAGTTTGAGCACACAAATAATGCAACAGTGTCAAAAATAAGTGTGAATTGTTAGCAAGTTTAAGTGCCAAAGAGGAGAATGCAAATGGGACGTTTGGTGCGAAATTCCGTCAACGCGTGCGTCTATTTTTAAACACCTGCTGCGGGTTCAAAGGATGCCGCTTTGAAAAGCCACATCCTGACGGCTTTTATGAGCGAGGAGCGCGCCCGTTGCTGACCGACGCGCTCGGTTGCCGACCTACTTCCTCCAAACACGGCGCCTCCATTGTTCGGCAATTATTCATCGCGAGCGCGCGGGCGTTCGGCCATAAAAGCAGCCGTGAGAGACAGAAACATACACACTGAAGAAGAAAACGGAGCCAGGAAAAAGGCTAATCCGCTGCGAGCGAAACAAAGCGATTGGTGCATCAGCCGAAGCCGTTTTGCCGCTGCAAATTGGATAAGCCGGAAAGCAGCGCCTTAATTCGCTCAGAAAGGGAGGACAGATGTGGACGTGACTTGAGCGACAAATCGGCGACACATGCACGGAATTGCTGCGAGAATGTGTTAGTTGAGTGCTTTCGTTGCTTAATTACGCCAGAGCTAGATGATAATTGTCGGTTTCTTTTTGTCATTTAAAATAAAATAAAAAAAAACGATCCATATTTAGGAATTATTGCAAATTTAGAAGAAAAAAAAGTAATGAATTTAAATAGATAAATGTAAAAGTAATTACAAAAAATTTGATTGAAGAAATTGACAATCATGGAAATGAAAAGATTTGTGTGCTTTTCCTCGTGGCAGAAATTGTTTTTTACTAAAAAATATGGCTCATTTGTGTTGGCCATTTGCTTTTGAATAAAAACAATTTCTGCAACGAGGAAAAAGTGCGATTTATTCATTAATTCCATAATTAAAGAAGATTATGTTTGAAAAATGAAAAAGAAATCAATCATTAATAATTACGACAACACAATTTCATTTCTTTTGATCATTTTCTCATCACTTTATTCAATTTTGTTTCTGATGTATTTCATTTTTTATAAAATATCATCATCAAAGGAACAATAATTTTACATAAAATTAAAATAAAAATCACAAAAATTCTTGTTTACAATTTTATTTTGCTATTTACACTTTTTTAGGAAATATTCAGCGTGATAAAATAAATTAATGGCGACATCACGGAAAAAAGTACGAGGGAAGTGGAAAATTGATATTCAGGTCGCATCTCTCTCTCTCTCTCTCTACATACAGAACTCGTGTATCTTTATCAAAATGCGCATTTTCCATTTTCCTCTTTCCATTTTTTTCCTCGGCTCTCTTGCACGCGCGGCCGTTAAACTCAATTTGGAAACTTCCCTGATGTCGGGGTAAACTCGGCACTTCCTCGAGCGGCCACTGATGGTGCTTGCTGCACCATTCGTGGCCGAAGCTGAGAGACAGACAGGGCATCAGGTGACAGAGCAGCAAGATTGAAAGGAGAGTCGTTTATGAGTAGCCAAGTGACACAGTTGCGTTTTGTAATATGTGCAAAGAAAAAGGCTAATTAATAACAACCAACATTTTAAAGTAAGTAATTATCGTTTCAATCAATCCTAGCCACCCCATACCAACGATGACCGATCGTTTCCCGACAACTGGCGCCCAACTAACAGCCCCCGAAACCCTCCACCCAACGTGCATCCTTGCTTAGCAACAAGCCACATTCGGCGGCCATTATCCCGGAGACAAGCCCCACGACTACCTATCATGACGACTTCTTTTCCCATTCTCTTCACTGGCCACTCTGAAGAAGAGTGTTTCAGTCGCCAAATGGCTCTCCTTCAGGAAGAAAATCGCGCCCTGAAGACCAAGTTGGGCCATGGCTCTGGCTAGGGGTTCCAACTTCCCCCTCCACCACCATTCCTTATTTTTTGAATCAAAATTACAAAAATTAACAAATACCCCTTGGAACCCAAAATCAAGCTAATCAACCCCTAACACTAATTCCCCTTCCATTTTCCCCTTCCCCTACTGCTCAAATCCAATGGGCCCAATCCACCCAATTTTTAATGACAAATCCGGGTGTCTTTGAAATGACCCTCGCGATGGGTGAATCCGGACCCTTAGTGGCTTTCCTCATCGGCGAGTCGGGTGTTAATCCGCGCCCGACGCAACCCCGGAAGGCCCGGTATCTCCAAGCACCACCCTCCCGCGGAGTCAAATTGAAACCCATTGACGATTAGGCTTCATTCGAGGGGACGATGACCCCGTAAGGTCTCAAAAAAATGGTGGCACGGTTTCTGATCCCGATTCCAATCCCGCCAGCGGGGGCCCGGTATCTCTGACTCTCCCTCAAGCCTCATTGTCAAAGGAACACCTTAGTCGACCCAAAAAATAATTTCTTCCCAAAACAAAAAAACAGAAATCGAGTAAAAAAAACAAAAATTAGAGTAGAGCAAAATAGATTGAAGAAAAATTAGATTCGACTGGGAAAAATAGCCAAATAGAAAAAAATGGGAGTAGAGTCAAAGCAAAAAGTAGAATAGAAAAACCTAGTTTAAATTGAAGTTCAATTATCAGAACCAATTTTAAATTTCCCCAAACCCGACAAATGAAAAAATCAAAATACTAAAATTCTTCTCAGTTTCAGAATGCTCTTGAACCATGGTGCCTTGACCAACATCTAATTAACAAAAAAAATTTCCAAATTACAGGAACCATATTCGCCTCTTCAAGGCGACCCCATTCAATTTTAGAGGGTAAATCATGAGCACTTTAATTCCCTTTTTCTTAGCTTTAAACACTCGTCAACAAATTAATTTTAAACCAATCACACAATACACAAATGAAACACAAAACTGTCAATCAAAATTCACGAACAAACTGTACTTTCGGCAAATCAAAAAATTAAAATGTAACACAACACAAACAGGTGCGTGAAACAAATTTATTTTCAACTCGCTCAAATCATTGCTTTGCGCAAAAAATTGGAGTTCAGTCCTTCTCAATTTTGGTTCTCAAAACCACATTTCATCCCTCCACTACAAAAAAAAAAAAAAAATGCGTCTCCAACTCGTAGGTATATCTGCTTCTGTTGTCCCGGGGGGGAAACGCCAGTTTGCTATGGGACCTTGTCCACCCCATTTAAGCAATGCCTGCCCTGGGTAGCAGCGGAAGTAGAGAAAACTGCTGAGAAACAACTCCTATTTCTTGCGCAACGCACCCCAAGAATTCGACAATTAAAATTTTAATTTCAAAAACAATTAAATTGTACAACTAAAATTAACTTCTCAAATTAATTCGACACAAATACCCTCCAGTGCTCAATTGAAAAATGTATCTTTAATTTTACGTTGTGCTCAATTGAAAATGCATCTTTAATTTTAAGTTTTGCTCAATTGAAAATGTATCTTTCAATTTATGTGTTCTATTGAAAATGTGTATCTTTAAAATTAAATTGTTGTCCTCATGTCACCGATGATCTTGTCTCCTCTCAGCCGGGGAGGTGTCGGGGTAAACTCGGCACTTCCTCGAGCGGCCACTGATGGTGCTTGCTGCACCATTCGTGGCCGAAGCTGAGAGACAGACAGGGCATCAGGTGACAGAGCAGCAAGATTGAAAGGAGAGTCGTTTATGAGTAGCCAAGTGACACAGTTGCGTTTTGTAATATGTGCAAAGAAAAAGGCTAATTAATAACAACCAACATTTTAAAGTAAGTAATTATCGTTTCAATCAATCCTAGCCACCCCATACCAACGATGACCGATCGTTTCCCGACACTGAAATGAAATGCATGGTGGTCTGCACGAGAGATAAACGCAACTCCGCGCTCTCCAAATGCTGCTCCGCAATGCACCAGAGCGATGGAGAAACAGCCAACACACATTCATTGTATGATGAGTGTTTTTATTACGCACACACACCAACTTTTAAGTGCCGCGAGAACGAAAATACGCGTGCATTGCCATCATAATAGGTCTCTGCATTTTGCTCCGTTGCCAAGATAAGCAGTTGAAAAACGATTCAAACGAACTTTAAAGAGGATGCTTCATGCCTATGCCTTGCAACCTCTTTTTATTATCAATTAACAAGAATGAAGAATTGAAAAGATTCTATATTTATTTAGGAAACTTAATTATATAATTTTTGCCTGCAAAAAGATGATTTGGAAAACTTATTAACCAAATTCTGGTCTTAAAATTAAAACCATAATATCACATTTTTTCGGATTCAGATGCAAGTTTCTTATGTAAATCAATTAGTTAATGACTTATTTTTTCAATAATGTTAGTTAAATATTTTTCCTGTGAGTTTTATTAAACGTTTTAAATGTTAAATTTTAAACATTTTCAACAGTAAAAGCCTTTTTTCCTAAATAAAATAAATTTTTAGTAAAAAAACTAAAACTTAAAAATTAAATAAATAATTATTTATTATTAATATTTAAATTTTATTATAAATTTTGTAAAAGTTAGAAAGTCAAAACATGAATTACATTTTTTTTTCAGAAGTGCTGTTAATTATATGAATTATTTTAAGATTCATGATTAAAATATTACTTTTTAATTTAAAAAACTGCATTGGATTGTTTAAATTTCAAATTATTTCATATATTAAATTGTATTATTAGCAAAAGACAGAGAAAATTGACATTAATAATAAATTTTTGATTGCAATACTGGTTTTAAAATTAGAATTCACCAAAATTTGAAGTATTTAAGCTCTCTGAAATAAATTTTGTTTATACCGATTTTTAAAAGTAAAATTCACTTTCCTACTTGAAAATGAATTGCTTTTCAACACAATTAATCTTCAGCTTTTCTCCAGTGGGATAAATTAAACCAGCGCGCTAACAAAAGGGTCACAAAACAATAAACAGTATGTGGCGCGCGGTCTGCAAAATGCAAATCGCACTCGCGGGAGTTGCGCGAGGCGAAATGTTCACTCTTGAAAATAATGAAATCCAGCTTCTCGTGCGCTCAGCCGTCGCGCACCTGTGCGTTCCAACGCGATTTTGCTGCTTTGTCTCTGTTTTTCGTCTCGTTCTCCGGAGCGCACGTGAAAATAATGCAAAAGCGGCCAACTCATTGTGCCGGCGCTCATTATTTCTGTTTCGGTCCCACACTGGCGGGTGGGCTGTTAATTCCCAGCCACACAGGCGAACGAACCCCACCAGCTCAGCTTCATTAGACGGCACGGAAATTTTTTTCTCTGCTTCCCTGCAAATCATCTCTCGCTGCTAATTGAGAAGCGCCAAGATAAATTGCGGGCAATGCAAAGCTCGCGGGATTGCTCCGTCATTTTGCTCATTACCTGCCAAGAAAGCTCTTGAAATCGTTGTATAAAAACTTTTTTTAGCTCTATTTGCAGGGGGAACTCAAAAAAAAAAAATCACCCCCAAGCTGAAATGATAATTTTTCAAATCAATCATCTCGCTGCCAAATAAAGGCGTGGGAAGAACTTTTGCAGTTGCCACGTTTAAGCGACACATTGATTAATTAAATTGAAATTTCTGGGAAATCCATGATCGGCAAACTCAAAATTGTGTCTTTTATTTTTAATTTTTCCATTTCTGGCTATAAAATAATTAACATGAAAGTCAGAACATTTTTTATTTCTGTGAAATACAAAATATTATTGTGAAATTTAATTTTTTTTATAAATTTTGTTTATTTTTACAAATGGTTTACATTCAATTGTTGAAAACAATTTATTTTAAAAGAATTGTTGGATAAAACGGCAGCGCCACTAGCAAGAATTTTGGTAAAACTTCGGAGATCAAAAAGACTCCATCCTCCGCAGTGAGCCTCGGTTGACTTTTTTTACGTTCTTATCACTTAGTTTTTGTCCTTTTTGCCCAATTTTTTTTATTTTTTAACAAATTTGTTTACATTAAGACTCCCCAAAATATTTTTTTTAATTATTTGGAATTTGAATATTATTCTTGAATAAAAATTCAGTAAAACGAACAATGACCTTGACCTAGTTTCAGTTTTTCTCCTCTAGAATTTATTAAAAGATTATCTTTTTGAGAATAAACTTCTAGAAGAATGGTAGAAATTTTCATTTCGAATCTATTTGCTCCAGTGAGTCATATTAATTCTCGGTAAAAAAAAAATGTGAAAAGCCCTTGACGCCGACGATAATAAAGAGCCTTTCGCTCTTCATTCTCTTGTCAGTCCATTTTCGCCGAGATAAAAGCCGTAGATAGGCCGGCCATCTGCCTGTAAAACAAATATTTTGTCGTTGACATTATTTGTTTGCTGATTGATCTGCGGCTGATCGTTGCGTGTGTGTCCGTGTGTTGCAGGTGGAGGAGGTCGAGGGAAACTGTTCATCGCCGTCGCCTCCCCCTCCGCCGAGCGCGGGCTCCCTGGCGGGCCCGTCGTCGCGGGGCCACCACCGCAGCAGCGCCACCAGCAGCAGAGCCATGGTCGACAGCACCGGAGTCGTCGCCCCGTCCACGCCCGCCGCGGCCCAAAACGGTGAGTCCGCGCTTTATTGCGGCCTAGCCAAGTTGGCTCGAGTTTTTAGTGCGCAACTCCCTCTTGTTTCACCTGATTCGCGCGAGATCTGCAAAGTCTTGTCGTTCCATTACAGAACTGGAGTTTATTTTCTTCTTTTACTACTTGTTGGAGGAAAGTAGTGCAGTATAAATTACAAATTTGAAGTAGTTTTGCATCAATGGATGCGTTTCAACTTCTTCTTCAAGGAGACAATCAACTTTTAATATATTTTAATTTAAAAAAAAAATAGTTAAATTTATTTTTACAACTGATATAATATATTTTTGTTTTTATAATTATTAATAATTTATTTTTATTGTTAATTTACTCATTTAAATGCTAAGACAAAATTAAATTCTGTCTTTGTTTTCAATTAAATTGAAGCAATTTTTTATTTTCTAATTAAACATAAAATAAATTCGTATGTAACGGAAAATTTACAATTGAATTCGTAAAAAAACACATAAAACAAGGAGTAAATTTATTATTGTGATAGTTTCAATTTAAATTTTTATTGTCAAATATTTAATACCATATTTTAATGGAAAATCTTCTCGTGAAATTATGTTTTATGTTCAAAAACTACTTAAATTTCAGCACGGCTGCTCTAATTTGCAATCTTGTAATTTTTTTAACAGTGGCGCGCGGCGACTCTTCAGACGCGAGCGTTCCGTCATCGCGGTCGGTCAGCCAGGAGGAAAAGAGCAACCTGAGCTCGGCTCTGCCCTCCCTGGGCACCTCCAGGGAGGAAGAGGCCGTCGGCTCAGACCACGCCAGCGACGCCTCGGACAGAAGTTCCTCCAACGCCGGAAACCGGTACCAAAAGTACATTTGGCCAGAGAGCATTTTTTTCCATATTTCTTACATTTAATAGCACATAATTATCTCCAAAACATTTATATAATCAATTAACTTTTAAACATGACACCGCGCCGGAAATCAACACTCAAAAATAAATACACGCACACAAAACACCAAGAAATATGCAAATATTTAAATATGGTAAAATATAAACGATTGTGTACTTAAGTAAGTTTTAGTCTGCCTGAAGAGGATTGTCATTTATATAAATATATTGTTTTTAATCTCTGTTCTGCTACTTGACCGCGCCCTGGTCAAAAGTGAAAGCTTCAAGTGCTGATCTGTTGGATGTATTTGCAGCAGCGGTAGGGGTGGCAGCAGTAGGTGCTCGCCGCACCCCCCGCTTGACAGGTCAAAGAGCACCGGCGAGCGGCGCTGGGCCAATTTGCGAGCTGTTGTCGCGCTCTACGGTCGCCTGCGCCAAATCAAGAGGTTAGCCCCATTGTGCCCCAACCAACCATCCAAATACGTCTCATTCTGTCTTAATTATATACTCGTAGTCAAAATTCGATCGATTCGATATAGCCCGGGCCAAACAAAATCTCTTAATTCTCTCGTAGCTCTCACGCCTGCACTTATAAGCTCCAGTTCTCTCTTAATTACACTTAGATCTCTCTTTGGTGGTGGATTTACCCGAGAGCTGCATCTAGCTGACTATTTTGTGTAGATTCCACTCAACGTTGTTAGCATTAAGGTAGTGCAGTCCTTAATTTATTTACTATAACTTTAGTTTTCTCTGTTTAGTTATAAAGTTAAGTATAAGAAGGGCCCGAAATCTCTGGAATCAATTTAAATCTTTGGTTTTTCTTTCATTATAAACATAATTTAAAGATAAAGAAATTATTGAGTTCAAATTTTTATAAACTATTATTCAAAAAAATTATTCTATTCTATTTCTTAAAGAACCACTCCGGGCATTTGTATTGCTCTTTATTCTGAAAGATTGCTAAATTTCAAGCATATCTTGTGAAAACACTAACTGAAAATTCCAAACCGTTGCGTCTCAATCAAAAGAAAACCTAAATACGAGTGATTCGCGCGAAAAACGTGTGAAAATTGAGTAGCCAATCAGATCCACAAGTTTTTTCCAAAAACTGCCGGTTTTTGTCACTTGTGGCGCTGCGATCGCTGATTTTGCCACAAATGCCCCACGGCGCTGCAGGAAACTTGGCAAAATCAGCGATTGCAGCGCCAATGTGACCAAATTGTATAGTTTTTGGAACAAACTGATGGATCTGATTGGCTACTCAATTCTCACACGTTTTTCGCGCGAATCACTCTTACTTAGGTTTTCTTTTGATTGAGACGCAACGGTTTGGAATTTTCAAATAGTGTTTTCACCAGATATACTCAAAATTTAGCAATCTTTCAGAATAGAGAGCAATACAAATGACCGGAGCGGTTCTTTAAGCCATTGAAATAAATTTATTTAAAAAATTTTATCAAATAAATAAAGTATTGATACTTTTACAATACAAATTTATTGCTTTCGTGTCCTTCTAATTGATAGATCTGATTGTGAGAGAATTGGAGTTTTGAATATTTGTATTACTGTAAATAAGCTACTTGTCACTCCGGTTTTTAGTTTTTTCACACCGTAAGATTTACGATATAGTTCCCTTTCAGAAAAGTTTAGATTGGTTTTCAAAATCAGCAATCGCTGCCAAGCAAGAACGTGCCTTGAGAGCTACTGATTTTTTTTATCTCAAAATCATTCATAATTTTAAATATATTTTTATAATCTTTCATGGCCTCTGTTTGTTTTCTATTTCTCTGTCCGCTGCCCACGTGCGCTGTGTTGATCTCGCTACTGTTCTTCTCTGCTGGTTGCTGATTTTCCGCTCCTCTCCTTTCATATATATAAATACGTCTCTCCTCTGCTCTGTCTGTGTGACTTTGGAAAACAAAAAAACGAACGGAATTTTCGTGCAACTCTTTTGTGCAATTACTGCTAGCGATGTTGTTTTTCTTACGTTATATACGAATGTACAAAACGAAATGACATGTTTGTGCTGTGAAAATTTTACCATGTACTTTGACGAAACGGTGTCTCGCCGACGTCTGTTTTTCCCCTTTTGTGAACGGAAGAGATGGCCAGTAAGTGTGTGTCGATTCCGTCATTATCACATTTTAATCAATTAGTAGTTTAACTGTTAGAAAGTGGCGCTTGACTCACAAAGAAAACAAAAATGCACTGCTCAATAACTTCTTGAACTGAATATAGCTTTCACTAAAAAATATTTGGAGAATTTTCGCTGATTTCTAGAAGAAAAAAAAATCCCAGTTTAAATAATTATTACAATTTCACAATCATTTTAGTCATTTTTAGCTGATGTAGAAATTGCCGAAAATTCACCAGTTCAACTCACCACGCGCATTACAATTATTTCCAATTTCTCGCCATCATAATTATGGGACTTGTTGATTAATTTGAGGCTGCGTATTTTCAGACCTGCTGCTGACACCGAAACGGTCCCTCCGACAAGGTCAGCCGATTAATCAAATCACATCATTGGCAGCACGATTTGTTACATTTATGCTGATTCATTTGCGACATTAAAAATAAATCGTCCATTGTTAATAAGCAGACCAGAGACGGATCGATGAACACGCCGTCTCTGGATGCAAATCAAGTGCCACTTGTGTCAAATAATAATAGCCCTGCCATGTATAGGCTCTATCCATATAATTATATCTCTCTCTATACATATTAGTTGTTGTTGTGCTCTGGTATGTTGCTCCATTATATGTGTGTGTTTCTAATCAATGTTTTCTGCATTATTCTACTCTTCAGTTCACGAGTCACTACTTATCAGCAGTCTCGATCAACCGATGGAATGCATTTATTTACATGAGCTTGTTTTCATTGATTGATTAGGATTCAATTAAATTATCATGCTATAAGCTTATTAATTGTAATCACGCGTCCGTTTTGTCTCCCGTCTGGTTAGAATTTTAGCTTTAATTTAAGTATCAAAAAGTCCGCCACTTCCAAATTGCAAGAAAAATTTTCAATTTGCTAGGAATTGGCTGGCTTCTCATGATAGCTGTACAATTAGCTTCAAAATGTGTCAGTGACAAATAAAACACATGATGACATTTTCCATAGACCACATTTAAGATTTGAAACATTCGCCACGTATACGCACGGCTCGATTTCATATTTTATAAACCATTACACTATTTAGCGTTTAGTCTGCACTTGATGCCCACAAAGCGCGCCAAGGCACACGTCAATGCAATATTCTCGCTTTGTTATACAACACTAACATCTTTCAGAAAGAGGCATTTTTATATTATATATTCATACATTTAAATCGACCTTTTTTAATTCTATGAAAAATTGCAGAAAAGATTTGTTTGTATTTTGTAAATAAAACACGAATAAACCGCGACGTTGTTGTAAATAACCAAATTTGAGAAAGAAACGTGAAGGGATCTCTTCTTGCTGATTTAGCCAGTAGGCAACCGTGTCGTCTTAGATGCTACGCAGGTTGCATAGCGCCTTAAATTTTAAATTTTGCTGCACACACGAACTCTTTCTCTCACTCTTTTCAAATTTACTTTTTTCAAAGGAAAATAAATCTTTTTGTGTTTTGTCAAATAATGTGTTTATTCGGCCTTTTGCGAATCCCTTCACACTTCTTGCCTCGCGAAGACTTTTGTCGTTTGTTGAATTTTTACCATTTTTACTAACGAATCGGATCGGTTGGCTGCTTTTTTTTGCAGGACGAAGAGCAATCAGCGGTGGATGAAGCTGCGGACGACGGTGCAGCTTTCGGGTGCCATCTCGAACACGATCCAGAAGAAGGCACCCTTGAAGCGCGAGGACTCGTTTCTCAAACGCTTCTCCACCAGGCAGGTCGCCGAACAACAGGTACAAATAAACTACTTTGACCTAAAATTCTCTCGGTCCGAATAAGAGCCGCCGCTGGCCAAGCAGATTTATTATCTATCGCGCCGCCGACTCGGTGGCAGCAGGTTTATCGCGTCGACGGGATAAAATCAATCGCTCCCGCAGCAATGTGATGAAAAAGTTCGTTAGGTCGCCCTTTCTCCGCAGCGCATGCCGTTTATTAGCAGCCATTGAGTGTCGATAAAAAATTACTGCTATCATTCTTGCATCGTTAACCTAGGCATTCATATCATTCGTTGGTTTATAGTGGTGTTTTTTTGCTCACTCAGACCGAAATCCTCGTGCTATGATGAATAAAAAAATTTCAAAACGGAGGAAACACAGAATGAGAGGATAAAAATTATGCAAAAACTAATATGATTATTTTTCTCTAGAACAAAACCTTTTTTCAAAACCACGACAAATTATGCGTCAAGTTTTTTTCATATTTTTTGTTAATCAAATCAATTTTGTTTATTTTTAAAAATATAACCCAACAATAGTGGTAAAAATTTGCAATTGTTTGAAAAAAAAATTTAAAAATGGCTCCTAAATTTGTGAGGACTTAATTTGAATATGCCTATAAGGAATTATTGCTTCAGAAAATCGGATTTTAAGGAATTGGGGATTTTTTTTCTCCCTAACAACTTTTCCAAAAACTTCGGGTTTCAACTGAAATTTTAACCAGTTTAAAAATAAAAATATTCGTCAGTAACAAATAAATTAAATCAGAGTCCCAATTTTGTTCTTTTTTAAACCCTAATAATTATAAATTATACTCATAATATTTTTTCTTCTAAGATATTATTAATATAATTTAATTGACCAGCATGAAAAATCATAATTAATTCAAATAAAAAAAATTGCAGGAGACGATGGACGCGGGCGAGGACAGCGAGGGTGGGGGCGGCTCCGGGGGCGGCACAATTTCACATTGCCAGGCGAAGGCGCGTCGGCGGCGGAAGGCACAGCAGGAGAAGCGGAGCGTGGTGAACCCGGACGAGAACTTCTACTTCTACTGGCTGATGGTGCTGACCGTGTGCGTGTTGTACAACTTGTGGACGTTGATCGTGCGGCAGAGTTTCCCGGAGCTGCAGCGCATCATCCAGCCAACCTGGTTCATGTTGGATGCCTTGACCGATGTGATTTTTTTACTCGATATCGCAGTACAATTCAGGACGGGCTACCTCGAGCAGGGTCTGGTGGTGTACAACAGCAAGAAGCTCGCCTCGCACTACATCCACTCGCGCGCCTTCTTGCTCGACGTCTCCAGCCTCACGCCACTCGACCTCCTCCAGTTCAACCTAGGCATCAACCCCATCCTCCGCTTCCCCAGGTTCCTAAAGGTCAGGACACAGTTTTCTTATTTTTGTCAATCTTTATTGGAAGACTTTTTTTAAATAATTTTTAAACATAAAAATAAATTAAATTTCTGCATTACCAAAAAACCATCACCATATATTTTAAGTTAAATTATTATTGCTGTTTATTTGCACAAATGTTGTGATTAAATACTAACTTTTGTGTTTAGAGTATCATTTATTATTATTTACACTTTATTTTGATTTATTTGTATCAAAAAACTTTTTAATTGAATATTTTTTCAATTTAAATTACAAAAATTATTACCTAAAAACATTTTGCCAATCTCCATACTTTCGAGTTAAATTTTTATAAGTTTTCACCAAAATATTTTACTATTTTCAACATTTTTGAATAAAGTATCATATTTATTTTATTTCTTTTGCTGTTTATCATGAGGAAAAAGTAAACCAAAATTAAAAACAAGCCTCTCTTACATAATCATCCAATTTAACCCCCACGCGTTGGCTCTGGCTATCATTTTGGCAATGTTAGCTCATTCAACTTTTTTTGCCTTTTTTTTTAAGCAAAAAGTTTTGAATCTGAGCCACGGGAGTTGAAACGCTCCGGTCGTGCTTTTGCTGGGCACTCGCCCAAGCGAATTTGCGAGCTGTTGTTGTTGTTGTGTTGCCACTCGTTCGCTTTTATGGTGATGCGATAATTTAATATTTATACAAACGCCACAGAAAAAAAAAGAGTCACGACCCTTCTTTTTTACAATGCGCGCCACTGTTGTTAACAAGCCAGGAAATAAGCTGCCATTGTCGCCGTCGAGAGAGGCTTTTAAGCGTTAGAGTGACTATGATTGCTATTTTAACTGTCACGCCCAACATTTGAAACATTTTATATGAAAGACAGCCTAGGATTTACTCTCAGAGGAATAGTTTTTTTAGATTTTAGTAAAAATTAAACTAAAAAATTGTTGGGAAAAAAATGGAAATGACCGAAAAGATGCATATTATTGAAGATAAGTCAGTTTTGTTTTTACCATTTTTTCTTATGGAAATGAAGCGATCGGGCTTTTCCTCGTTGCAGAAAAATTTTTTTCACTTGCGGATTTTTTTTTACAGCGATGAAATTTTATCCTTACGTTTTTAAAAATTTCATCTAAGAATTAGTTTTTTTTTAATTATAACGTCACTCGCGTTGTGTGGTCCTGGTATAAGAAAATCAAGAGTGCTCCAAGTAACGTCAAATATAAAAATATTCTTCTTAGTGGTTATTTTTAAAAACGAAAGGGTTAGATTTCATGGAAATGCAGCGATCGGGCTTTTCCTCGTTGCAGAAAAAAATTGTTTTTATTCAAAAAACAAGCCATTTGTTTTTGAATAAAAACAATTTTTCTGCAACGAGGAAAAGCCCGATCGCTTCATTTCCATGATCATCTCCTCGAGTGTCAACTTCTTCAAACATTTTTTCTTAATTTTAATTTAAAAAAAGTGATTGGCTTTCTCATTTTATGGATTACCTTCCAATTGGTTCATTAAATAAGATTTTTTAATTAATTCCTAATTCTGAATTTAAACAGAAATCAAATTATAATTTGTAAATCATCGAAATTAACTGATAAAAAAGGAAACGTTTCCGACTTGTGACTAATTTAAATGAAAACTTTCAGGTGTACCGAATCTACGACTACTACTACATGGTGGAGTCGCGGACCGTGTACCCGAATTTGTGGCGCGTTGTCAACCTGGTGCACATCCTGCTGATCCTGGCGCACTGGTTCGGCTGCTTCTACTTCCTGCTGTCCGAGGCCGAGGGCTTCCAGGGCGAGTGGGTGTACCCGTACCGGCCGGGCGACTACGCCACCCTCAGCCGCAAGTACCTCGGCTCGCTGTACTGGAGCACGCTCACCCTCACCACCATCGGCGACCTGCCGACGCCCGAAACAAACGCAGAGTGAGTCGCAAAACTTTTCTCTTTCCCTCCTCTCGAACATCTTCGCGCGCGTGGCTCTCATTTGAATTGCCAAGTGGCCGGGTCGAGTGAATCATATTAAGTGGGCGCTGTTTGCTTCCTTCCGTGCTGAATATTCATCCGAGTTTGCATTCAGTCCGACTCCTAAGTAAAAGAAAAAAAAACACAGATGCCGAGTGTGCTTTTTCAGCTCCAAGGGAATTAAGACAGTTGTCTCTTTGTTGGAATAGCAGGCTTTTCGCAACAGTTTAACGCTTCACTGCGCTTCTTTTCATTTCCGTATTTCAAAATTCTCAAGTTTTGATAATGAATTTGTCAATTTATTTACTTGAATTCACGAAATGGAGATGGAAAAATTAAATTTTATTTCAGATAGTAATTTTGCTAAATTAACTTATCAGTATTTCTAATTTTAATACACTCAATTTCTTCTAAATCTATGAGGATTTTTTTAGCAACTAAAAATTCTAACAATTCACTTAATGCAAAGCTTAAGATTAATTAAAGTCAAGAAGAGAGCTCTCTGGAATGATGAAGGTCTTTACTATGCAACTTAATTTAATATAATAAATTAAAATTAATAATTTAATTATACAGATGCCACAAATATTTTGTTAGTTTTTAGCAGTTGACGGTATATTGGGGAAATATTTAAGCTCAAATTGAATCTGACAATATTTTATTGAGGCTCAAAGAACCTTAATTATTCATTTTGTATATTTTTTTATCAAACAAATTTTTAGTATTCCTCTATAACAAAATTCAGAAACCTTTTTTCCCGAATTTCTTTTCAAGTCGATCGTCTTGAGTTGCTGTCAGTGACAATGAGAAATATCATTCCATTTCCCGCATGCAAATAATCCTCTGCGACATCGCGACGGTGCGAAACGCAAACACCAATTTCCTCAGAATCCATCAAAGTAAATTGCAGCCGAGTCGTTGTTACTCTCCAGTGTCAAGAAGAGATTCGTCTCGCTTGCACGTGCCTCGCGCGCAAACCTCCAATTTGGCAAAGCCGTGTGAACATAATTCACACGACGGCGTCAAATCTTCGTCACTCTCGACGTCGGCGCAAAACAAGGTGCTTGACGAGTTGTTTTAAAGCCACCCCCGCCGGCTATACGTGGCGTGGAGAAAGAGTTTTCAACTCTTTAAAAACAACATGGGTTCCGCACGTCGACTTGAAAATGCAAGAGAAAAATCGTTAAAATCTGAAGGCGTTTTAATTTGGAGAAATATTTTTTACACAAATTAATATGTTTTAAAACGAATTTTAATTTATTTATTTAAGTTCAGATTAAACATTTTCAAAGAATTGAAATTTGTTTGAATAAATTTTTTAGCCAATAACTAAATTAATTGTTTTACAATTTAATTTAAAAGCATATTATGCGAGCAAATGCAATTCCCCCGCAATATTGTTTGATCTCAACGTCCTTTGATGAATCCGACGCGCATTCCGGACGTGCTAGGAATATGAAGCTGAACCGGAGATTTGATCTTTGCAGTCCCTCCTCCAGCTCGCTTTCTCTCATTCCGGCCTCTCGAAACACGATCCGTTTAACTCGCAAGTTTTCAACCGAAAACTTTCTTTCCCTGCTCATTTCTGGCGGCCCGAGTGCTTTTTTCCGCCCTTTCAATTGTATCGCGTGCGCCGGCCGGGCAGAGAAAATGAAAGGGGAAAATCTCGATAAGCCCAAGCTTGCCGGTCTTTTAGCGCCGCGGCGAATCGTTTTATATACTAAACTGCTCAAGCCTCAAGCTGCGCACACTGCCGGAATACAGAAAACAGAGCCAACAGCTGAACTGCCACTTGTTCGTAACAAAAGTTTAGAAAACGAAATGAGGAAATTAAGCACTGCGTCAACCTTTTGATTACGAATTAGATTATTATTAATTATATTAAAATCTGGAATAAAATACAAATTCAGATTTAAAGTTGCTTAAAAAACCTTTAAATTCCAATCTAACAAAATTGAATTCGTCTAAACTAAAAAATCATTTTTCCAGCTTAAAAATTTGGTAAAATTAAAATAATTTTCATATTTATTTTTAAAAAAAATCTTTATCAATTTAATAATTTTCCTCTTTAATGTATTTAGAATTTTTACCCGCGGACACAAATTAATGAGCAGTATATTTTTTTTTATATATATTTCATATATTTATTTTTCAATTATGGAAATTTTCTGTAAAGAACGTGAATGTGCGCTTGATATACACCCACGCCGTTGGTTGAATCAAATAAATACGCTCGTCGCAGCGATTAATCGCGCATCCTCTGCCCTCGTAACAAATTACATCGTCCATTCGCAGTGCACCGCAGCTTAATTGGCGCGGCAGTCGACAAACCGCATCGCGCGACCCATATTTCGATCGAGTCTCTCTGGACGAACTAATGAACCATTTCGGGAAACGAATTAAAAATTTATTTCACGCCGCTTTTCACCGGCCGTTGATGAGCCTCGAGGTGACGCAGTAGGCGACGCCGACCCAGAAAAGGGCCGACAACACGTGGGCCACAGTTTGCTGCTCGCGACGCCGACGACGCTCCTGGTACGAGTGCCACGCGTCCCAGGCCTCCTCGTCCCGAAAGTCGAACAGGAGCATCTCCTCCAGAGTCACAGTTGGACGCTGCTGGCCGCAGTACGAGACGGCCCTAAATTAAATAACAATGATTTTATAAAAAAAATATCCTATTTTAAAATTAAGTACCAGGGAAGAGCCGTGCCGATCGATTCAGTTTTGTACTTTTCGAGAAACTTCGGATCGCTGGCAGTGCTGCCCACAGAACGCTCAACAAAATCTGCGTCCAGCCAATTCAGAGACATTTTTGTACGATATTCCTCAATAATGAATAATTGAAACAATCAACATTTTGATTGTTGAAATCGTGTTTAGGAATTTTCAGATCCATTGATGAATTTTACAGATCATTAATATTTGGTGGAAGGAAAATTTATACACAACATGAAATTCATGGAAATCAGATGGTGGATTGGACATATTAGAACGTAAATAAAAAATAATAAACAATTAATGGTTCCAAATTGAGACTGTCAGATTTTTCTCTATTTATTTCTTTTTACCGAACATAAAGTACATCAATGCAGCCCCAAAGAGAGCCTTCATCCAGTTGGGCACCCAAGGCCTCTTGGCATCTACTTGACTCTTCATGTAGTTCCACTCCTCCCAATCCCCTGCAGAGAACTCAAGGAAAGAATAAGGAAACTTTTAATCATAAGTCCCTGACTTATTCACTTCAATGGGGCTCAAAGGCATCTTGATTCTGTTGACAGCTGAAATTTTTTCCAATTTTGAAAAGATTATATTGCATTACGTCTAAAATTATATTACCAGGTGATTCAGGCTTGGAAATTTGAACAAAAGCTGCCCCTTCAGACTGGTCTATGTCGTATTTTTGGCCTTCACCACAGGGATCGACCTTGTGAAAAAAAAGTAGAAAAAATAAAATATAAATCCGACAAAATGAGATGAGGCTCCATGCCTCATGTTAGTTTTATGGCGTCGACACACGCATTAAAAATGAGAGCAAGACAAAGAGAGGTATGTAGAAATAGAAACTACTACAAGTTCGATAGAATTTCAGGAAACGAAATAGGGATGAAATTTTTCCGAAATTAAATACATTATCAACAATATCTTGTGCCACGTTGACCCCCCTATAATCGCCATAGTTATATCGAAGTTATTTCTGTGGCGATTATCAACAAATTTTATGGTTTACATTCTGAATTTTACGTTTCAACAAGAGCAATTAATTCCATACATAGTTAATTATGAAACACTCACCTCTATCCAAGTTCTAGATGCAATATAAATCGAGATTCTCTGCGGACGCGGCGAGCTGCGCAACGAGCGTTGGTTATTTGAGTGAAAATCGGGATATTCACCAAAATTTCGAAGCCGAGATCTGAGATAGGGATAGTAGAACTCTGGGATACGAATAAGGGCGGGGCTTAGGTACCAGCTCCCATTTGATTACATTGTACCAGTTTAACATTGCGGGTATGGGGGGGCTCCGCCTTTCTTCGTATCCCATGGTTCTACAATCCCTAATCTGAGATGCACCACTGCCTCAAGCGGCTAGGCCAGAAGGATGTCGAGGAATAACGTCATTTCTAAGCATTCTGATTGGCTGAAAACACAAGAACAAAAATCTTTGGTACACAAACTGCACAAAATTGTTTGAACATGAGAAGTGCAGGCAGCTCGTAAAGCTCCTTCGCGTGCCACGTTGGTCCCTTGAAGATTCTTTTCTTTTGCTGCTATAAAAATATCTATTACATATTAGACTACTAGATTTTATTATTTTTGTTAGACATTTGGTTTAATTAGGCCAGTAACATTTAAATTCAATAATTTATTAGTTATACCAAATTAATCAATTTAAAATTATTGCAGACAAATGTTTTTTTCTTTTAATTGAATTTCATGATGACTTTGCTTCAAGATTACGTAGAAACCAAATAACAATTCTTACAATTCGCCACGATGAAACAAAAAATAAGCCATTTGATCGCGTTTATGCCTTGGATAAGTTTTGTTAATTTTTCCTTTTAGAATTTTAAAAACGGAACTACTACGACAATCTAAATCGACTAAATAAGGATATAAATACAGAAATATAAAATATTTGCCCTACACGTGTTCGTTTTTTACTAGAAAATTCTCATCTAACAAAAAAATATTAATAATAATTGAATATTCCATTCCTTTTCCTGCTCCACAATAAATTCATCGGCGCTTCTTCCGTTCGAAGCTCGACTTCCGTGTCAACAAATCGCGATTGATTAGCGTCGGAAAATTTTCTCCAGAAAATGCGTTTGGCTTTGGCACAAAGCTTTTCCCTTCTTTCATCGCACCGGCTGTGCGAATATAGAATAAAATGGAGCGGCGCGGCATTATGTTCGAGCGGCCTGAGCAAAAGCATCAGACGTGTCTGGAATGCCGAGCCAGAC